CACCTGCTCTCTGCTCTCACTACAGATCACAATGTCATCCGCAAACATCATTGACCACAGAGATTCCTGTCTGACCTCATCCGTCAACCTGTCCATCACCATAGCAAACTAGAAGGGACTCAAAGCCGATCCTTGATGTAGCCCCACCTCCACCTTGAACTCCACTGTCTGACCTACAGCACATCTCACTACTGTCGTACTCCTCTCATACATATCCTGAACTACTCTGACGTACTTCTCTGCCACTCCTAACATCCTCATACAGTACCATAGCTCCTCTCTTGGCACTCTGTCGTACACTTTCTCTAAATCCACAAAGATGCAGTGCAGCTCCTTCTGACCATCTCTATAAGGACAAAGTAGTTTAGATACTGTATATTTTAAGCTTGTCTACAAACCTTTAGGAGGTCTGACCACCTGCTTCTCACTGTATCAGACTCTGCTGTAGTGATATCACAGTGCTACCAGATCTTAGCAGTAACTTTAGTGACAGCAATGTTATAACCAATAGAAATGATGCTCATCTTGTCATGTTATTAAAGAAAAAGAAGTGAGACACCCACCCTGATTGTGATGTAATGTTTGGCAGTATAAACAAATGTCTGTGTTGCAGTCAGCAGCAGGCCCATGGTGGAGCCTGCAAGGTAGTCTGTCCATAGAAGTCCCAGGCCCCAAGAGCTGAGGCTCTGAGCGGGTCTGCTGCACCCGCTTTTGCCAAACAACATGGGCCCTGGCACAGCAATGCCAGTCCTCCATTCCTCCAGAGTCCAGAACAAGAGGCACAGGGAGCAAGGCAGGGTGCAGCTCAGGAGGAGAGCAGCAGAAGCCTGGGCCCTGGTCGTAATGAATGTGGATGCTGTGGTCATCCTGCAGATCTAGGCTCTGGTGGAAACGAACTGAGGGGCCATCAAGAACACAGCCACCCACTCTCCCAAGAGGCATGGGAGGGTGCCCATGTCCCTGGTGGCAGCAGTGTGGTTGGATCTGTAACGGGACTGGAGACACGACAACAGGGGGTACTATAGGGCTGCTGGGGTCATGATCCTGACACTCTGTTTGTCCTGGGCTGGGCTGATCTGTGGGGTCTGGCTTTGGCCACTGGCAGGGGCTGTGTTTAGGAGAGCACACAGTTGAGTCTTTGTCCAGGACAAGAACAGTAGGTGCAGCAGCAACAGCAGCACCCTGCTCCTCGTCTGAGACCCCTCTTGGGCCCTGGTTGTGCTCCCCCTCCTCATAGTGGTGGTGTCTGTGGCGGTGGTAGTGGATGTGGCTGAACACAGTCTGTGGCTGTTCTTCGGGGCATCCAGCTTTGTTCACCACAGAATCCAGAGACCTGGGCCGGGCCTGGACACCAGCCTCCAAGCTGTTCCTCCGGGGAGCATGCCCAGGCCCTGGCCCATAATATACCAATGGGTCATAGTCACTACTCAGAGAGCTACGGAATGTGGACCAGCTGCCATAAACTCCCTGCAGAGAAACATCAGTACAATTGAGAACTGAGTCACTGGAGGAACCATGGCAGGGTCCTGAGCTGGAATCACTCGCTGGCCCATCAGCTAAGTATCCGCTGCGTTCTGTGTGGTAGCTGCCACCTGAGCAGCTGCCTCCGTCTTGCCGGCTGAGGGCTGGCACTCCACAGGTCTGAAGAGTAACAGAGGCAGTGTGGTGCAGTCTAGAGCTAGACGCACTGTGCTGAGCCAGACAGGAGGAGCGATAATTGTGGCAGGAACGACGATGCATGTAGTGCTGACTGGAAGTCCTGCAGTTACCTCCAATCCTGTAGGGCCTTCCGGGACCCTCTGCATGAGGGTGGTACCCACAGCTGGAGCCAAGTGGCCTGCTGGTGAGGAGACGTAATGTTTGGGTGTCCATGGAAGAAGAGCCACTGTAATGACCCAGAGAAGGATAAGGTCCTGAGGGTCCATGGGGATAGTGGGGCCTCATAGAGAAGGGGATAGCATGCTGAGGGAATGGGTGGTTGTGCAGGCTGCTGTAAGGCTGAGGGTGCAGGAAGCCTTGGCTTTGCTCTGGACTCTGCTGGAGTCTGTTCCTCTGGGGCTGCTGCTCTGTCCCTGTGGACCACATCAGCAGTTGAATACAGCAGAATATACAGATGACTGAAGGGTTGTAATAGTTACCTCTGTTTGTTTCACAGATGGGTTGGAAGTTCAGTGATATGTCCAAAACACACCTTAGTTGTTGCTGGTAAAATTGTAAACTTACTTAATTTTCATTTTCACTATATTAAAGCCAAACTAGGGCAAAAAAAGCTATACACCTTTTTCTAAATGGTTGAAAAAAATCATCATGTTCCTGAGTTATTCAAAACTATACTTCAGAGTAACTTATAGTCATGGCCAAAAATATTGGCACCCTTGCAATTAATGGAGCATCACATGCTTGAAATACAACTATTTATGATTATTTTAAAAAAGGGGTCAATAATTCTGTTCAGTCCATTGTTGGAGTTCTGCGTGGAATGTATCAGATTTGTTTTTCTCTGCTTTTTGTGTTGTTCCAATTCAAACAAAAGAAATAAACATGAGAACACCAAAGAATTTGTGATTGTAACAATTTTCTAGGAGAAATGGTGAGTTAACTGACAGAACTGCAGGAGTGACAATATTTGTGGCCATGACTGTAATATGTTGGTGCAGTCAGTGAAACTATAAGATTCCTGCAGTTTTTCCTGCACATTTTTAATAAATCTTAACTGGGAATATACTTGTACTCACGCATGATGTTGTGCATGCAGAGAGGACAGGTGCGGTGCTGTAGCAGCCAGGGGTCGACGCAGTCTTTATGGAACTCATGAGCACAGGAGATGATCCTCAGATGCTGAGACAAAAATAACAGACAGAGGTAGACTTAGGAATAAATAACTAAGGAGAACTGTTAAATCTTCAGATTTGTTTCTCATGTTGTCGTCTGTTACCTGGCCATCCTGGAACTCATCCAGGCAGATGGCACAGACGGGGCTCGAGTTGGAGCTGCTGGCTGACCCCCAGGCCCCATGGTGGCGCTGAGAGCCTGAACAGCCCTGAGAGCTATAGGTTTTGGTCTCCAGTCGATTAATGGCCCGCATGGTCTGCTGATGGACAGAGTCCTGAACACACAAGAAGGGGCCAATTAGATCAACGTTTGAAAGAACCGAACTAAGAATCCAAATCGTCGATTAGCCATGGGCTCATTTGCCTCCGCAGGCTTTACATTTCTACCAGTGTTGTTCCTTTCACTTACCCAAGTTCTGCTGGACTTGCACTTGTAGCGGCAGGCAATGATTAGGGCAATGGTCAAAATAGCCATGACAATGGTGAGCAGGATACCCACATCATAATGTGGCTGAAAAGGAAAAAGAAGATGGTAATAGAACAAATATTTAAAATTATTTATATGAAATATTTTAAACAATAAAATTAAGTTTTTAAATTGACAAGAAAATCCTCTCACGAATTCATCTCAAAGTCTAAAACACAGCCACAAAGCAAGAATGGCCACTCTCTCTACACTTTACAGCCCATTTGCATCCACTAAGGCCATTATTTTTCATATATTTCTGATATATTTTACACCAAAACAACATTATAACAGAGCTCCAAGTGACATTTCAGCTAACACAACTTCCTTTCTGTTCTATTTCCCAGAGGACTTTCTTGCTTTCTTTTCCTTCCAGCCAGTGAAAGCAAAGTCACAGCTCAAGAGAGCTCCAGAAAGATATGCGTGTGTTTCAGTCCTTACCCATCTAAGCTGCTCCACCATAACCTCAATATGAACTTTGGCCTCCTCATTCTTGTTGACTAAACCCATCAGCATCTCAGCATCTGCAGCCTCCACCAGTACAACTGGATGGGTAAGGGAGTCAATTTTTCTCAGCTGTATGTGTGTTTTGAGCAAACAGGGTGGTAACCAACACAGGAGAGGAAAGACACAACAATATGAGTGTGACAAATGACCATCGTCTGCATACTAATTTATCTAACATAATTTATTAATGGATAAAACTTTATCTGTGCCTGCACACTCACGTCAGTAGCAGCTTTGGCATCATCACTGACATCAAAGATAACAGCCTGAGCTCCATTTTCCAGTGCGATGCGAACCTGGAGGAGACAACACAGGAGACAGACAAAAATGTCAATAAATTCTACATATTCGGTAGGACATCTTGTCACCTAAGCAAGAGAAAACATCACTCCTTCAGAGGTCAGTAATACAGTGGCATAGTTCATGAAAATTAGTGTCTGAAACTATCACTAGGTGGCAGTCATGGCACGAGCCCCAGGCCTCACAGCACAGACCAAAGTGCAGCTCCTCATGCCACTTTTCCACTTGACTCTGGAAGCCAGACAGATTGACTAGTGTTAGTGGGAAAGCCACAGGTCTACTTGCTTTTCTAATACTGGAGAGTGCAGCTACATGAAACATTGGAGGAGTAAAAAGAAAGGGAGAAATGCTGAATGAAAGAAAAAGTGGGTCATCAGTCTAACATAAAAAGATTAGGGGCACAAGAGCCAACACATACTGATCAGTGCTCAGCTACAATATAGACATTAACCGACACGTGGTGCTCTGCTAATGCTTCACAGTTTGCTTATTATTATATTGTTTGTTATTAATTCTCATGCACACTCCCTGATCGTTATAATACCCAGCAGTGTCACCACATCTATTAATCTCCTTCCATTAAAGTTTCAAAATACCAGCAGTAAACTTGGAGGAACTAGGAATAATAAGGAAATTTGGAGAGATGAAGGTACTGTTGGGTGACACACTGCAGAGCTCAGAGGGGGAGGTCAATTGTACAAGTACAGAAAGCTAGGAAAGAGGTGTGTGTTGGTTAAAACAGATTAAATAAAAATACCATACAGCCAGGTAAACAAAAGTACTTAAACCTGCAACAACAAATTTTTTGTCAATTTGTGGGCAGCAAAAGCAAGTTCAGAGCACAACACTGATATATTATCACCTCTGAAGATGAAACGGCCAATGTGTTAGCAGACAGCTGCTTATTTGCAACATTAGCACTCATTTGGAATAAATGGCAATCTGATAACCACAACTTCAATACTTACTCTCTTTGTAACTCAGTTTTTGGTGTCTGCCAACTCGTGAAATAAATATCTTGACTCCTTTTTTACTGAATGCTCCACTGTGTTCATTAGATAGTTGCTGAATTTGTCTGTCAGCTACCCGCTGAAGCCTAAACACTATGAGAGCAATAAGAGTGAATAAAAAGAGTAAAGTTGTGGGTGAAACTTAGTTCAACTTTTTATTTGTAAAAGGCTGAATTTGCTATTTTGTCTTCAGTTAGTTACACTGTCACTTTACCATCGTAACTAACTGGAATTTACTGTGTACCTTTTTAAAAGGTATCAATGTCATGGAAACAGTGCATCTCAGATATGGCTGCTAGCTGACAAGCAAGACAGCCAGTAATTCAGTGAAACACAGTAGAGATAAACAAAAAAGCAGCACCAAAAGTATTGTATGAAAAACGATAGAAAAACATTATTAATACAGATTCTCAATTTATTAGGTAACTTAAGATTGAGTCATGCCACTATGAGCTTTGTTCTGTGTGTTGGCTGGCTGATGGTTCCTGTCTCAAAAAAATTAATAATATTTACTGATAGCTTGCCAGTTGACCTGTAGAGACCTGTAGGTGTTTCAGAACTGCTAACATCTTTACGAGTATGTTGATGTTGTCATTTTTATGTTATAGCTGTTAACGTGCTTTGATTCATGAGTGTGTGTTTGCTCCCGTGTGTATGTTCTGCCACTGCCACTCACCAGACTTTGTCTGGCGTATGAGCCCTTCAACATGGTTAGGTGTTTCTGCATTGGCTCTGGAGGTTGTTGGTGTTATCAGCACACACTACAAAAACCCATAATTGTTTTCACCGCAAGACAGCACGAAAACAAATACTGTAGCAGTCTTTTCATCAATATCACACCACATGCGTTCAAATGTGTGGCATCTGCTAATGGTTCCTGAGGACAAGGCATAAGTTAAGACCCCTAATCACCTGGGTCAGTAGTAATTCCTAGCTTATTGCTTGCAGTTCAGGGCAGGTGCTCTCAAACACGAGACAAAAGAAATTCAGGCATTACTCACTTGATCCATTAATAAAGTTATTGAGAAACCCCTTTTGTGGAGTGGTGCCACCAAACTGGGATCACCTTTTAACACTTCAAAAACAGAAAGTCAATGCATGACAAGGAAGAAACAGACATTTCCTTTGTATAGATATAATGTCAGATGCTTACCGCTCCTTCACTTATTTTTTCAAAGCAATGTCCACACTAAATTGTACACTCAAAGTGCATGTGTTTCTGTATAGTTTGCAACTTTCATAGAACAGCACAACAAAGGCCACAGTATTGACGGTCAGACAGAGGTTAAATAAAAAATTAACACATCCCGTTTGATTTGGCTTCCAGCTCTTATGCAGCAGGCCTTTTTCCAAGTTTTATCAGAATCATAATTGTAGTGCATGCACAGGCCTAAATGGGGTGCGGTCACATAAAGTAGGAACAAAAAAAAAAATCTGGATCTTTGATACATGGGAATTTGCTTTACCTACATGGCACTGAGCCAATACAACCTCTAATTATGGTAATAAATGTAGGAAAGCCCGCATACAAAGCCAGTGGGATGTTTCAAACAGACTCCTATGATCCAGACCAACAGCGGTCAGTTCAAGAATATGTCATAATAAATTTTTCAAATGACTGCTGCTGTAGTCTCACTATAGCTCGGTATTAGTAGTGGTACCACAGTGTGGTGGTAAGCATCTATTGAGCTTCTACTGAGCCTCTGATCTCAGTCCATGATTAATACAAGACATTTAGCCTTTAAAAGGTACAATGAAAGTGGCAGGTCTGGTGCTAAAGAGACATTTGAAAGTGTTTCCACATCTCTAGGTTTGCTATGGTTGGAAGTGGCACAGATTCAGCTGTAGCTAGATAAACACCCATCCTCATGAAGGGCAATTTGATACGTGATTTAACTGTATTTGGCATTTGAGGAAAAACAACTGCAGCACTGGAAACAACTGTGGTTTACAGAGTTATCCAGTGAAGACGTCACCCCTGAGGAACACATATCATACATACCACAATAGTCAGTAGTCTGCTGTTACTTTTAACATTGATGAAGATTGTAGCAAAGTGGGCAACATTTCACTGTGTTTGGTTAAACAGAATGGTGGCAAAGAGAGAGAAGCAGCAGGTAGTGCAGAGCTTTCTGCACAAGGAAGCTGTCACAAACATAGACAGTCCTAAGGGCACAGAACTACAAAGAGACACCGCGAGGTCACATGCAAGCAGGTATGCACACGCCTTAACACACAGTCTGTTACTTACAATCTTATCAGAGGTTTCTGACATGAATTCAGTCAACCATAACTGAAGAATGTAAATATGACATTAAAAAATCTTCATCCAGCCTCAGTCTGCTGAGTTTGCCAGCAGACCTTTTTTAAATCAACCATTTGGACTTGTCCTATTTCATTTCTATTTAAGTGTCCCAGTAAGCCACGACTGTGTGACAGTGATCCAGCATGCACAATACATGGACCCTGAAACTGAAGTAGCTAAACACAAGTCAGACATCATTCTTGTTCTTATTCACACCTGTGCATTTCTTTCTGTGTCATATCAACATATAAAGATCTTGGCATGCTTTTCCTTGTTTTCTGACTAATCTACAATGATACAATGGCAAATTATCATCTTAGACGTGACCTAAAGCTAAAAAAATGAGGTGTACATACGTATGTTCTAGTATTTCTATGCAGAAGCAACTCAGTTTATATATGTCTCACAAACTCTTGTTTGCAAGACTTTTTTTTTTAAGGTTAATACATGTCTGGGAATGTTCATGTACAGAGACTCGCTGTTTTACCTGACCGTGTCTAACCTACAAGCAGCCAGCCTGTGAAGTCTCACTCGGTAGTGAATGATCAGCTCATTAACACTGGATTCCTCTGGAGCACAGTACCTGTTCGTTTTGACTGCTTGAGGCCAGTGTGTTTGGCGCATATGATGTGTTGCGGGTTGGCAGGAGGAACATATGCAGTTGCCTGTAATGCGAGGGATTTGTCAGAAGACAAGGCGATCACCAGTTGGATTTACCGACCTTGAAATTTCCACTACTCGGAGGGACATAATAGTAAGTAAAAAACCCCCACACATGTTGCATGTCTGTTAATGTGTTGTTTCTATAGAGAATTGTTGTAAGGCTGGAGAGGTTACTCTGTCTGCATTATGCCAGTTAAAATATGGGGTTTCTCAATTACCCTCTATTCATCTGTACATATACTGTTGTTTACCTATCTATGGAGGAGAAATTCAAATTAATCAATGTTGTTGCAGTTTGTTGTGCTGTCCACTTTCGACACAACACCAGCAGAAGGAGTTGTGCGTGTTTACAAACTATGCTCTCATGTTTTGAAAGAGGCTGTCTGGTTTTATAGTTTTGAAATGATTACACACTGTTTGGAGTTATGAGAGGTGCCAAGGTAATCTAGAGGTACCCAAGATTAAAAATTAAATTGCTGGAAATGAACATGCCATGGGCTCTTTAAAGACACTATCAGATTTCAAACTTTCCAACTTTAGATTAGAGATTTCTGCCACAGCTTCACCCACCATCATGGTGCACAGAGAAGGAAAACTGATTGTGAGGGGTAAAAGCTTCAGCAACATTTATTGTGTGGAGAACAACTTTATTGTGAACCAGCTCCTTTTGGCTTGTGGCCTTTATCAGGATTCATTATGAAACACAAAACAGAACCAACTGACCCTCATGAAGGCCACAAGCCAAAGCGAGTGTTGCTGGAGTTTTTACCCCTCCAACATCCCAGCTTTGGAACCCTCAGTACAGTAAGTCACTAAATACACCACAGTTGTGTCTCAGTTTCATACTATATTTATTTTATCCAGCACACACAGTATAGAGTACTGTTTTGCATTTAGGAGAAAGAAACCAATGTATCGTCATTTTGTACACAAAGGAAGTAAATGCCATTAATGGCAGTGATGCCACAGACACTAATCAGATCACAATTCTGGAGTCCAGTGGCCAATAAAACCTCAT